TGTATATGCAAGAGGTTTCATGAATTATCCCATGAGAAGCGACGAAAGACTTGCATTCTGTAGTGAAAAACTCACATCCATTGTCTGTGTGAATTTTTTAGACAGACTTGTCGAATTGATTTTTGATTAAGGAAAAGAAATTCGACAAATTTGAGAACATTTGACTCTTGGATTGCATGAGGAAGACCCAAGTGGTATGAGTATAATCATCTACAATCGTTAGGAAAAAACGAGACCCATCACGATGTGAGATGTGATAGGGATCCCAGATATCTATATGAATCAAAGAGAATGCACTAGTAGCTCGAGATGTGCTTGTTGGAAATGGTGCTTGTGATTGTTTTGCCAAAGGACAAATTTGACAATTTGGATAACGAAAACGAGCACTATGACCTAATCGTTGATGAGAAAGGAAATTTTTATTACTGGTGGTAGCATTACACGAAGTGCCTTTATTGAATAATGACATATCAAAATACTTTGGAAAGCTGATCCAAAAATGCAATCCTTGTGCAACACTACTCAAGCCCATCATTTTGCCAGTCGAACGGTCCTGAAAGTAGTTTTCGGAATTGATTATGACTTGACAAAAGTTGTCTTCATAGATCTTGCAAACTGATATAAGATTGAATACAAATTCAGGAACGTAAAGGACATTTTTAAGGATAATGTTTGGAGTAAGCTAAACTGTTCCGATTATGTTAACATGAGTGACAATACCATTGGGAAGATGAACAGATACATTAGGATGGGTTGTTTGGTGATCAAAAAATTTCTCATCACAAATTATGTGATCACTAGCACCTGAGTCGATTATCCATGTATCAACTGGAATATAATCATTCTTGGAAAAAGATGTACCTGAAAAACTTGCAGCTTTGTCTGCAACCTTTAATTGATTCAATGCCCTCATGATATGCTAGTATTGATCATTAGTAATGGTCTGATTTGCCCTTTCAGTTCCTTGTGCTAAAACCTGATATGCAAAAAAATCCTTCTCCCTTTTCTCTTTATCACTCGGTTTTCCACGCAATTTCGAGCAGGTATCAATAGTGTGATGTGGGCGTTTGCAATAATCACAATATTTACCTTTATTTTTAAAATTCTGCCCATTTCCTCTAGCTGATATGGTGCTCCGTGGACCACTAGATGGTTTGAAAACTGGGGCTAATGTGGCCTGATGAGGACTGCCCAATTTAGCCGCATGGATGATGGAATGTGAGCCGTCGGATCCCTTCTTAAGATCTGGACCATCGGTTCTCATAACCCTACTATTAGGGTCATCTTCTTCCAGGCGAGGAGGGCTTCTCGCGTGTGACCCGAATGAGCTCAGAGTTTGCGGCGGCAACAGTGGTCCGAGAGCGCTGGACGCTCATTGCGATGGCCCCGCAGGAGCAGCGAGCGTCACGCTCTCTCCTATCTTCACGTATTTCGTCATGGCCAACCGTTGGTTTTCCTCTTGCACGGCTAACTGATAGATCCGGCCAAGCGAAGGGACAGAATCCATGGCGAGAATCTGCAATCGAAACAGTGAGTAACTTTCGTTCAAGATCAACAAAAAACAAGTCACCTTCTCTCTTTCTCGAATTTTTCTATACTGTTCCAGTGTCGATTCGGGTCGTTGAAGCTCCTCTTTAGCCGCCTCGAGCTCGTTCCACAGAGTCGAGAGTCGGTTGAAGCAAGCGGTAACCGGATGGTTCCCTTGCTTTGCTCGGTCCATTTTTCCATACATTTCCCGGATGCTATCCCATATTTTCTTTGAGTCTTCAGTTGGTGGGAGGCCGGCGGCAACGTCGGGGGCTATGCAGTTCCCAATCCAGGTACGCACGAGTTGGTTGCATTTACGCCAATATCGTTGCATCCGATCGTTGGTCGAGAAAGGCACGATTCCATCAAGGAATCCATCCTTGTCCTTGGTAACGAGGGCTCGCTGGAAATCCCGAGCCTATGGATTGTAGTTATTGAGATCGGTGAGTTGCAAGTTGATGAGCCGGAGCTCCGGTCCGTCAGCCAGCGATGTGTAAAGCACGTCGCCGGGTTCCGGTCGGCTACTGGCGGCCAAAACTGCATGCGGGTAAAAATCGGATTGTAATCCCGGGTAGGGATTCACCCTTTGACCCGATGAATTGTGATTCGAAGGCGGCCATCCGGGTCCATTCGGCTGGGCTCCAAGGGCGGCTGTGGCATGCCCACCTGGACTGAACTGAGCCCCAAGTCCAGTATTCACATCTTCCATGAGTGGGTTGTGTCGACCCCACTGTTGATTTGCCCCAATGGCCCATTGGCCTTGAATTGGAATCCATTGCATTGGTGACCACTGGATATGGCCGGAAGGTTGAACTGGAGTTGGCATTGGAGCCAGGGGATGTTGTTGGACAGAATCCCGTTCATTGTGCGTCAGATCAACTTGGTCTAAAGTCTGATTCTGAGGTGAGTTGTTGGACGATTCCTCCATTGTAGGCACGATCGTTTCTTGATTTTCACTAGTGGTTGGGCTTTTGTTCCGATTCTTTGGCATGATGTATCTAATGTGCAGAACTGGGTTTGCTGGACAATATTTGAATTCCTACCCGAAGTGCTAATTCGTTTTGCCGGATGTGTTTTGCAACAACGAAATTAGAGAGCTATCGGGGGCAATTCGAAAAAATTTGCGAAAGCTAGTTCAGAACCGAAAGCTCTAATACCATGACAGAAATTAGAAGAAGGAAGAATGTTGGAAATTTGTGTACTCTGTCTTATGTGTTCTGCACATGTACATACCACTATTTATAGTACAAAAGGAAATTGAAGAAAGAATAAACATGATACATTTTCCTATTTTATCTCGCTTGATCAAATTAATTAATCTTCAATCTTCGTGATTAGAATCGGAGACAAGGATCAAATCATATCTTTCTCCAACAAAAATGCCAAAAATGCATCTTTTTCTTACCAATTCTTTTTTACCAACCCATACTCTTCCCCATACATTTAGATCTTTTCTCTCCTCTTCTGATTGCGTTAAAATGTGAAACCTAGCCGGCAAGGAGAAAATTGTCCTGAAAGTCCTAAACATATTGTATTTTTTCCAATTTAATCATAAACCTTTTAATTTTGCCAATTAAGTCATAAACATTTTCACATTTTGCCTATTAAGTCCATCCAGCCAATTTTTGATCGGAAATTATTGATGTGGACGCTAGCCATTTTATGTGGCACGTCAGCAATAACGTAGACAATTTTTAAAATATTTTATATTTTTCAATATTTTATTATTTCTATTCTTTTCTTCTTTTTCCTTCTTTACTTTTTCCTTTTTCTCTTTTAGTGATATTGCGCTTGTCAATCTCTCGTGCTTGGAAATGTTCCATCTCTCATGGTCGGAGACCTCCTATTTAGACACTTGAACAGCTCGTGCTTGTGGAGTTTTCCATCTCTCGGTTGTTAATGAAAAATTTTGGACGTAGGGTTAATGGGGGAAGATTTGTGACTTAAGTAAATGTTTGTGGTTTTATATGAGACTGTAAAAATTTTAGGGTAATATTGGAACTGAACGGTAAATTAGACAAGACCTAAAGTTTGGGGTTTTTCAAACGACGAAAAAAAGTTTAGGCTAGAGTTGAGATAGGACCTAAAGTTGAGGGTTTTTTATGGTACAAAAAAACTTTTGTGGTAAAATTAGGGCTAGACCTAAAGTTTGAGGTTTTTTACGAAATAAAAGGTAAAATTAGGACAAAAGCCAAAGTTGGAGGGTTTTTTTAGAGAATTAGGCGGAAGAAAACCACTTGCAAACATATTTTCTGCTATTCCAATCTGCAAAACTTAGGCTGCGCATGACAACAATTCTGTGCCCGGGAACAGATTCTGCTCAGAAATGATTCCTTTTTATTCTGTACCCGGAAACAATTTCTAAGGATTTGAAGGCGTTTGGTAACTGCCCAAAATTTCGATTCTTAGAATAGAAAAAGAACAGAAATGCATTTGGTAACTATACAAAATTTCATTTTATTAATAATATTTTAATAATATTTTGAATTTTTTAATATTTCTTTCTTTCCCTTTTCCTTCCTTGGTCATGGCTAGTCGCCGGCGCCGGCGACCGGCCATAGGCCAAGGCCGGCGAGGGCGTCGTGGCCCTCGCCGCCGGCCTCGCCGATGGCGATGGCGAGGTTGGCCTCGCCGATGGCGATGGCGAGGTTGGCCTCGCCTTGGCTGGGCAAGGCTCGACTTCACCCGGATCTGGCGAGGCCGACCTCGTCGTCGCCACCCAGGCGATGAACCTAGGTGGCGACGGCGAGGCCGGCCTTACTTTGGCTAGGCGAGGCCTTGCCGTCGCGACGGCAAATCACCCTCGCCCAGACGGCGATGGGGACCCTCGCCGGCCATCGGTGAGGGCCGCGACACCCTCGCCGACCCTGGCCTATGGCCGGCTGCGGTGGCCGACGGGTGTAGGCGGCGGGCTAAACAACAACAACAAACAAAAAAAAAAGAAAACAATCAAGAAGAATCAGTTCTGGAAAAATTGTTCCAGAATTAAGAAGCTACTTTTTTTTTTCTTCTTGATTCTGTTCCAAAACTGATTTTGGGAACAATTTTTTACAAAATTGTGCCCGGGCACAAAAAATTTAACAAACGGATTTATGTTTCCAAACTGATTCTGGGAACAAAAGAATAAAAATTTTCACTATTTGGCAAGTTGCCAAACAGGCCCTTAGCCATCTAAAATTCATGAGTACTGAGAAGATTGAAATTAATGAGGAGTGATAAAATATTTGCAATGAGACACTGGATTTGATAACCTAAAATGCATGAATTGACGGCAACTATCGAGTCCGTTCAATTCATGATATCATGAACGAAGTCTCTGATGCAAAAACAAGAGTCTCCCAACCAGAAGGTAAACCAGGGCACGGGAGTTTATTTTGGGCATGCTTTATTTTACACAAACAAGTTTATGGAACTTTCTTTTAGCAAAGTCAACATCGTAACATTCATCAAGAAAGAGTAGCTTAAGCAATGCCTCAAACCGTGAAATTGAAGCCGCCACATGTAGTCCCGTAAGGATACAAGGAAGAGCTGAAACCCAATCTTGACTGATCCAAATCAAATTGAAGCAAGTTATCCTCCATTTGAAATGTCCCGATCACGACAGCTTGCTCCGCGGTTTTCCCTCCGTCGATGAAAGCCAAGCACGCAACGTTGTCATCGACTTGCTTTATCGAGTTTGATGGATAGATGGTCCATTTCTCTCCATTTCCTAGCAAAAGATCGATCTGGGGAATGACTAGCCCGTTGGTGCTCGTTCCTACAGTGAAGCACAAACGAAACGGCTCCACTTTGGGCACTTGATTGATGCCTTTGGCAGCCTTCTTAAAACCCCTAATAAAAGTCTTGTAAATGTTGCTCTTTAGTGTAGTGTATGGTACAATAGTACTAAGCTTCACGCTCTGATTGCAATTGAAGCTGTTCTGTGGAACATGCATGTCCTTCCCATGGATCGATATGCCAGTAAGGTTGATAAAATATCCTAGCGACGTCCGATCGCCTTGCAAAGGAGTGTAGGTGAGTACTTTTGCCACATCAAAGTCTGTCGAAGGATCACGGTGGTACGGTAGATAGTACGGACCATCGCCAAAGAATATCGCCCCACGAGCTTCAATCGAGCTCGGGAGGCAAAGTGCGAACTTCCTTGTGACCAATTGGCCAAGAAGATCAGTAAATACAGACAATAGAGAGAGAGAAGACCGCGACAAGGCACCAACGCCAATCACTTCTTCAGGGAGAGACTGTAGAAGAGACGGCGGTGCACACGATACATACAAGCGATTGAAATCCATACCTGTCGCGACGGATCTCCCATCTGTCCAATATATGACGATATCTTTGTAGGTCGCTTGCGATGGAGCACAAGACTTGGTGATCGGGTTCAAGGGCGCATCGTTGCAGTAACATTGACCATCTGTAAACGTGTTATTGACGGGACATGAGGGAGGGATGTAGCTCCGAGCAACGGCGCATGCGCCTGAGTTACAACCGACCGGAGGTTGAGGGGATTGGCATTGGCACCAGGTGAAAGGAGCGTCGAGATCAATGATATAATGTTCCCCACCGTTGAGCGTGATGCTGTAGAGAGAAGTGGTTGTGCCTTTATGTGGGAGGATGGGTGCTACGAGAGTGTGAGGTTGAGCGAAAACTTCAGTGGATAATGTCAACGCAAGAATTAACAAAAGAAGAAGAGTGTTCAATTTCATCTTTTTTGGGATGTTGGAACGATACGAGATTTGAAGGTTGAGAGGAGGAGGGTTATATAGAAAAGAATATGGCAAAAGCCACCAAAAATCCTAAACTGCACCTGCCGTGATATGTTTATCCTAAACTTTTTTCTGTGACATCAAAAATCCTAAACTTATACATGTGTGACACATTTACCCTTCGTCAAAGTTCTGTCAATGAAAACCGTTATAAATTTGCCTACATTAATGTCAGAAAGCAAACAAAGTTGATATGGCGTCAATGTGACTTAAATTAAATAAAAAAGACGTTATTTTGGCTAAAAAATTATTTAACGGAATCTTGATGGATGATAAATGTATCACATAAATATAAGTTTGAGGTTTTTTATATCACAAGAAAAAATTAGAGTAAATATGTCACAACAAGAAAATGATTTGAAATTTTTTATGTCATAAGAAAATTCAAAATAAATGTATCGTAACGAGCATAATTTGATATTTTTTATTGACTTTTGATAGGGGTGATGGGGCGTCTTGTGAAAATGATAAACTTTCCAAGGATAAAGGAAACAAGGTAGTACATTGCCTGAAAAGATACGTCAAAAGAGCATGTGCAGAGGCCTTATTATATCGATCCCGTCCAAATGCTCTCATTCGATCTTGTGCAATTGTACTTAAATTACGGGCAATGTGGACCCTCGATGAGGTATTCCTCAAATCTAGGGAATCCCATATGACTTTTCAGAGTGCTTGTGTGTAAAGTAGTCTTAATTACACGTATATGACCTTTTTTTCAAGTTTATAATTGGGAGATTTGCACCATGAGTTCTCGGTTTTTACAGGGAATCAATTAAGTTCAAATTTTTTTTATCAATGTAATTAAATCTTAATTTTTTTAAGAGTGAAATCAAATCCTTTTAGACGAATAATATGAAAAACATGGCGGTAGATACTTCTAGTATTTATTGTATTAGTACTGATAAGAAAAATCAGTGGCCAAAAACATGGCGGTAGACACTTGAGAAGCAAAAATCTTGGTAAAATTCTCAAATCATATTTGCGGCATGGCAGAGATTTTTGTCACTAAAGTTGGTCAGAATGCTCTAGGGATGATAACTGCAGAAAAATAAGAAACTAGGCTCCGTTTATTTCGCGAAAAATAAACAATTTGGAAAATATTTTTTTAAAAAAGATCGCTTGTATAACTTAAAATAATTAATCAACAAAAAATATATTCGTTATTGACAACAATCTATGTCTAAATATTTTCATTGACAATAAAAATATTTTTTGTTTGTTAATATTTGTAAACAATACAAGCAATCATTTTTAGGAATATGTTTTACAAATCATTCATTTTTCACTAAACAAATACACCCTATATTCCATGTAATGATTTACCAATACTTGTAAAACCCATATTATAAACTAAAGAAGCTTTATTTCCTTGCTCCATTGCCATGAACTCTTCCACAGTTGTATTCATGGTGCAAAAATCAAATCCTAGTAAGGACATGCACCTGCACGCAGCGGCACATGCTGGTTTACAACAGCCAGTTTGCAGTTAAGGTGATTGGCATCGATACAAGGTGAAAGGAGTATTGAGATTTGTGATGGAATGTTCATTATTGCTTGGCTTGCATTTAATTCAGCTTTCGTAAGGGGCTTTCGGCCTCTAGAGCCCTTTGCGCAAATGTTGGGGTGTTTGGCAAGCATTTTCCAATGGTCTTTCAACCAAATGTTGGCCTTGGGAAAACTAAACTACCCTCACCAAGCCCTACCAACATTGGGCTTTCAGCATTTGGCCAAATACTAAAACTAGTTTTTTTTCTTCCTAAACTACCCTTAGCAATTCTCTAATTTTCTGGTTTTGCCCCTAGTTGTGACTATTCATCTTCTTTGTGTGAGGATGGCTGACAAGACTAGATAGGGCTGGTGAAGAGCCAACGAGAGGCTGGCAGGGTCACGTGACCGCCCAGGCAGCCCTTAGCTAGGGTCGGACGACCTCAGGCCTTGTCTTTGGGGTCACACGAGTGCGGTGATGGCTGCCTAGGGTTGCATGACCCTCACCCAGGGTCACACGACCTTAGGCGATGGCCGCTAGTGCTAGATTTGGCTCGCCGGCAGCCTTAGCCCTTCGCCGACATCAGCTAGGGGTTTGATTTTTTTTAATAAAACAAAGCAAAAATTAAACCCAAAAGCCCTTTGCAAAAAAAAAAAGTTTGTCAAACATTACTTAGGATAGTAGCTTTATAAAGGATTTTTTTACCAAACGCAATTTAGATCCCCAAGAGGGTTTAGGCCTAAGGCATTTGCATTTCCTGATGGCCCATTTGCAAAGCTGAACCAAACTCACCCTTAATGTGATGCTGTAGAGAGAAGTGTTTGTGTTTTATGTCGAAGAGGAAGATTACCAAAAAAGTCCTAAACTTATTATACTTATGCCAATTAAATCATAAACCTTTCAACTGTGCCAATTTAGTCCTAAACATTTTGACATATTACCAATTAAGTCCATCCAATCAATTTTGGCCAGAAATTAATAATGTGGTCATCGGCAGTCCTATCTGGTATGGCCAGCGCCAACATTCACATTTTTTTTATAGTTATTAAATAATGTTTTGATTTTTTTTATTTTTTCTTATCATTTTTTTCTTTTCCTTTCTTTACTTTTTCTTTATATCCTGAGGACCGGCAAGTGTCTCCAGCCGACCCTTGAAGGCCACATGCAAGGGCCGACAACCCTAGTTGGCTATGGTCGAAGGCGTCGCAACCCTCACCCGATGTCCTCCGCAACCACAGCGAAGATGTCGCGGCCCTCACCAGTGGTCGACGAGGGCCTGGGCGAGGGCCGTGACACCCTAATCCGGTAAGGGCGGCACGCCCTCGCCCACACAACCTCGCCCAGCGTTGGCGAGGGTGTCTGGCCCTCACTTGTGGCTAGTGAGGATAGGCGATCCTTGCTGACCCTCAGGCCAAAAAAGAAAAGAAAAATTAAAAATATATATAAATTATAAAAAAAAAGTTTAAGTCAGTGCTGATCGTGCCACATAGGATTGTTAGCGATGTCATCAACTTCTAGCCAAAATTGACCGGATGGACTTTATTGACAAAACATGAAAATGTTTAGTACTAAATTAACACAATTGAAAGGTTTATGACTTATAGGCATAAGTGCAATAGGTTTATAACTTTTTTGGTAATTTTTTGTGAGGATCGGTGCTACAAGAGTATGATAAGGAGGTGGAGCTGAAACATGTGCGCATAATGTCAACACAAGAATGAGTAGAAGAAGAAGAAAAGAGAGGATTTCGTGGAAATATCCGATGAGGATGTGTCCGGTTGAAGATAACAACTGCAAGAGCCAAGAATCACGGGTACAGTTATAATTTATAAATTTGTAGACGGTTATGCTTTGCAAAAAGGCTCTCTAAAGCCAGTTGGCCTCTTGTGAGGGATCCGCAATCAATCAACGCTTACAAATTTCCTCAGTTCGGGTTTATCAGTTCATTACAGTCGCATTTTACTTTATCCAAGATTTAGTCACTAACGTTACAAATTACTTCCTGTCCGAATTGCCACAGAAACTGATTCATAAAAAAGCAAAAATCTAACCTTTGATGAAAGGTATTTTGTCGACGATCCAATTTTAGCGAAGCATATACTACACTTTAAAAAATTTCATATAAAATACCCATATCTAGCCTCCTTGAGTTATAATTGCTTTTTTTTTTTTGTCCCGTCCATGTAAACTAGGTTTCTGCATTCGCGGCCATAAATTACTGTGTGCCAAATGATGAGTTGGGCATAAGCAAAGCATAACATGGATAAGGTTTGATAATTTGAGGTAAGTGAACACTTTCGAATTACGTAAAGGGACGTCCTGATTCTCTTCGAATGCTAATCAGTACAAACAAAGTTGCATTTTCTTTATTTTGGGTGGAGGAGCTGACTTGGGCTGCCCAATTGTACCAATGATCATGTGCAAATCAAATCACTTGATGTTCAAGCAAATGTACAATTAATCTCATCACATGGTGCCCAAATTTCTGCAACATCCATGGCGAGGCGGTTAGAGTAATTGCACAGAAAAGAAAAATTAATTAATTGTATACAGTTTGATTCAACTTCATGAATGGAGGGCTAAGGAATAAGTAGAATGCGGTGACGTCCAATATTTTTGTATGCGCTGCATCTAAATCTACTTCTCAAAATAGTAGCAGAATATGGACGATATGACATTAGTAGTCATTGAGCATAGCAGCATTGCCCTTCTTCACTCCACGATAAATCATCCTTAAACTTTTAATTAAAGTAAAGTATACTATTTCAAATGAGATGAGACTTGAAGGGTGGGAGAAGGGTTATATGGTAATGAATTTGGTTGACTTTTGAGATGCCTCAAGGGGTTTGTTGTGGAAATGAGAGACTTCCGTAATGCTCTTCGAAGGCAAAATAACGATAAAGGGAAGCAAAGCACTACATTGCCTGAAAAGATATATCAAGAGAGCATGTGCAAAGGCCTTATATCATATCAATCACCTCCAAATGCTCCCATTGGATCTTGTGCATTTGTACATAGAGTACGGGCAATATGTACCTTC